CTATACTTTGCATGATTCTCATAATTGCTTACACCATATGCATTCCACGCATAACAATGCTCTACATATTTCTCATGATGCATTGCCCAATTTGAGTCTCCATTATGCTATACATCATAACAAACCTATCATGATGGATGACATGTTTCTATATCACGTATCTCATTTATTCGAGCATTGGATATTTTGTGCTAACCAACACAAGCACATGCGCATCATGATGGATGATGTGTACATCTACCACGCACACACAATTTTTCCTTTGTCTTTGTTTTGTGTAGGTACTCCCGTATACTCGTCAACCTCTCAATCCCAAGAGTTGACGAAACGAGCTCTTGAGAGCAAAGATGACTTGGGATCCCGTGGACTATCCTTACCACCGTTCCTTTCGCGTAATGACTACGGGCATCTCTCTCACTTGGCCCTCACACGGCTATGGGCTATATACCGCTTGTTGCTTCATGCTCATTTTCCCATGTTCACTTTGCATGCTATGCTTACTTCTATGCCTTTGCCATGCAATTGTGACCCTTGCGTGCATCTACCCATGCTTCACCATTATGCTACTCCTATGTGTGTATTTGCATGCTTGGTGGAGATCCGTGTTGCTATTGCCATGTGTTATCATGTGCCTCATGCTATTGATGCTATTTTGCTCATATCCTCCTTTCATGTTTGTGCTATGTCATGTGAATTATTCATGCACACTATTTGCACCCATGACATGCTTGCTATGTTTCCCTCTAGTATGTTGCATCTTTGCACTACTAGATCACACCACTTGATTGCTATGATTGCTTGCTTTGTTGCATCACCCATGTTCCATTATTACTTGCTTTCTTGGGTTGATGACGCATATGTTCATGCCTCTCACATGATATATTTTGTTCATTGTCGCTTGCCTCCAATTGTTGCATCTATGCTTATTGATTGTGGAGACTTGGACACCTTACTTGTGATGCATGCTTGCTTGATTACGCCTATTCTAATTGGTTGTTCTCGCATCATATGCCTCCATACTATGTAATACTCCCTTGTCCTTTCTTATGATGAGCATGATGCATACACTTGTTGGGTATCTTACCACATGAATGATAGGTTTTGCACTACCGCTAACCTCATTTGTTTTTCCGAGTGTTTGTCATGTTCTTTCATTTTGAAGGATTCACAAGGTGGTACCATCACGAGACAACTTGGTCATGTGAAGGCGTACACGATGTGCGATACCAACATTTTTGACATTCTCATAAAGGTGAACTCCCTCCCTTTGAGCCATCCTCAAATATGCATATTGGATGGGTCACTCTTTCATTGTGTTGTCTCCTTCTTGTTGTCTACATGATACATCTCGCGAACGGAGGAGCGACATGGGATATTGGCTCTATGGACCTTCACATTGAGGAGCGCTCGGACTTATTGGATGCACCTTCGAACCGCCACTCATGCCACGGCATCGAGCATTGGTACACCAACACCTCCATATTTGTTGATTGTGCTCAAACATGTCATGCTCGATGGACATCTCACACACATGACAAGTTTGCATCTTATGCATGGATTGACTCATATTATGATTGCCATGTTGCATCTTGTATTCCCATGTCATCCATGATGTATTAGCTTGTGCATTTCCTTAGCAAATTTGTTGTGATCTTTCTTGATGGCATATTCATACATCATGATCTTATTGCCTACCATCAATTGCATGACCACATCACATTGAGCACCCATTACCATATTCATGCTATTGATAAACCGTCTCACTATGACATCATTTTGCACTGTGGTTGCATTGATCATATTTTTGCTTTTGCTCCCATGAATGTTGTGCATACATTTCCATATCTTTTGGATAAGCTTCATGCACCTTGTCATGATCAATATTGTCGCATGGACACATGTTTACTTGATGGACACTTTGTGCGCGCTAACCATTGTATTTCCAAGTGTACTTCGTGTTTGCTCATTTTGCATGCACCACATACCGGAGACACCTTGGAGTACTTGGATTGCGCCATGCCTTCAACTCCGTCCAACTACAAGTCCGTCCACGACAACCGTTTCCATGGTGATGAGGATCACGGTCCGAGGTCGGATCTTCCCCAAGGGGGGGGGAAGATGATGCGGAGCATCCCACGTTCATCCCCATGTACACTCTGACTACTCTCCAAGCCCCAAGAAGACATATGACGACACCTCGAACATGCGCCATTGGACACAAGGTGAACTCGCTCCTCTCCAAACTTTCACTTTCTACATGTGAGACATGGCTACTACCTCCAACGTGTGTGCTATGCATGATCAGGTACTTAGAGGAAAGCCACGGAGCCACCACATCCAACGGTCGAGCTAGCAAGGACGCCAAGTACAAGGACCAAAAGAAGAAGCTGCCAGAAATCTACAGCCACCAGACGACCGGTCTGGACCAGACGTCCGACGCCTGGAGACTTCACCAGCCAGCCCAAGTCCCAGCCAGCGAGACCTACAGCGGTCGGACGACTAACGCTGACTGGACGTCCGACATCCTCCAGCGCCCGGACGGCCGGCCCGTCCGGAAATCCGATGATGGCTTTCCCGAGCCAAAACGCTGGACGTCCGACAAGTACCGGACGACCGGACCCTCGCGAGCCACCAGACGTCCGGTACTCGTCGGACGTCCGATGCCTGTCTGTGCACAATGTATCGGGCCGAGCCCATGTATCCCTTCGCCCTCACTTACCCCTTCGTGGCCCTAGACTATATATACTCCTCCACCTCCACCATTTGAGGGTTAGCATTGGTTTAGCTCATATTTAGAGATAGAGCATTGCTCATCCACATCGGATCTACTCCACGAGAGAGACCGCGGCCCCTCTTCGGAGAAGATCCCTTTGGATTCAAGACCTCCTTGCGGAGAAGATCATCAAGACCCCCTCTTGGGCGGCCCCATCAAGACCTCCTCACGGAGAAGACTGTTACCTCTTGTGTCGTCCGTTGTTGATCGTGGATCTTGTATCTCCCTTTGTGTTCATGGATCTAGCGCATGTGTGATCATTCTTGTTGGTTTTAGTGCTTCTCTCGTGTTTCCCCTTGTGATTCCCCTCGTTTTCCCCTCGTGTTCTTCGTGTTCTTCGTGGGATACGCTCCTTTCGTGAAAGATTGGCCACATAGGGTTCTACCCTACATCACCCGTCCAGCGCCATTCTGGTCTGGCGGGCGTGTGGGCGTCGGGCGACGCGAGGGTGAGCCGCGAACTGGTAGGGTCGTGGCCATGACCGTAGACCACGGTGGTGCTGCGGCCAGATCGGCTCGGATCTGGCCCATGGCCGCCGGCGGGCGGCTCGGTGTTGGCCTTCGGGGTCCTGGTGTGGATGTGGGCTGCCACGGCGTGGTGGTGGCTCACGGCGGTGGCTCAGGCCGTTCCACGGCGGCGGCTGGTCTTCTTCGGCGTCGGCCTGTTGGTGGGCGGCTCATGAGGTGGCAGGTTGGTTGCGGCGGCGGTTGGCTTGTTTCGGCGTCTGCTCGCTCGCAGGCGGCCTGTGTCGGCCTTCGATTCCTCTCCTCGTCGTTCGGCCGCTACTTTCATCAAAGGGCTGTCCTTCTCCTAGCCGCGGTCCATTGCTCGTCTCGCGATCGGTGTGGCAGGACCGATCTTGTCTCGCGCATGGTGTAGCAGGACCGAACTCGTCTCACGCACGGTGCAGCAGGACCGACCTCATCTCGCACACAATGCCGCTGGACCGAGCTTGTCTCGCGCCTGATGCAACAGGACAGGTCGATGGAGGCCAGTTTTGGCCGGCATATTGGGTCTCGGCGCTGGGGGCTGCCCAGGGGTGTGAAAGGCGGGACCTTTCCGCTCGTCTTTTTGGTTGGGGCAGCGGCGAATCTCGAGTGAGGTGGTGTCAAGGTCTTGGATGCTAAGGCAGCGACCTTGGTGGTGGTAGCACGATGCTCATGGGCAGAGCTCATTGCTTGGTGCTGCCCGGAGGCCATGGCCGTGTGTGCGGCGTGGTTGCTGGGGTGTGGCGTTTGATGGCGGTGAGTGTTGGCCGGGGTGAAAACTTGCTTTATCTTCGGGCGGACCGGCGACGACGAAACTCGTTCCCTTCTTGAAGGTGTCGTCGCGGAAAACTCTGATCCTCGGATCGGGGATGGTGGCGCTTCGGTGTCATATCCTTCCTGAAGGCGCCGCCTTGAAGCCCACGGTTTGTCATATACGGCTTCGTCTCTTTGTGGTGGCGTGGTCCCGTTGAGACCCTGGTTGCTCTTGTAGGGCTAGGGATGTTGTTGCTGCGATCAGCGCCTATGTATCTTGCTTTGGGTGTGTGCGTGTGGTGTGGTGGCGTGTGTCTGTATCAGGTTGCCGTGGATCTTTGCTTTATATATAAAACGGCGCGAAAGCCTTTTTCAGACATCTTGCCTCAACTTTTGCTTAATTTCCTGAGACCGCTTGCAAAGAGCAGGCTTAAACAAAGGGTGTAATAGCCACACGGTAGGTAGGCGATTAGTGGGCTAATCGTGGGCAGCCAAATATATGCTGTATTAGTCTGTTAGGACTGACTCGTTTGTCTAATCAAGCAGCTGGCAAAGGTCCTGCTTGAATTAATAGAATGTGATAGTTATGTACAAAGAGACATGGTGCGCATGCTGTGGTGCCA